TCATTATACCTCTAGTAATGTATTTACTGAGAAAAATGTTGACGTGTTCAATACTTATTTTACCCGCTGAATATTTATCACACAATAAAGCCTCAATTTTAACAGTAAACAACATTATTTTAATGTGCCCAAGACAACCATTATCATTATTTCATAAAATAAGAACAGGGTATAAAGTAAAACAGGGAAATAAGAAATATAGTTATGCTGCTTTTTACACAGTTGTTATGGAAAAAAAAAACATGAATCCACAGATGCAGAATGAAGATTCTTCTTTCTCTAAAGCTGGTGTTCTGCTTCACAGTTGAGTTTTGTTTATTCATTCATTTCGTTTTCAGAACACGTCAACCGGTGAAAATCTGTTCAGAACATTGAAGGTTTAGCTTAGATCTATTTGTGTATTTCGTTTGCTCTGCTTTTGCTTCAGAGTGTTTAAATCTCACTGCTGACCTAAGTGTCAGCACCTGATTGAAATATTCAATCAAGAAACACACCTGTCACTGCAGACTCTCTGGGATTTGTATGTCAAGAAACTAAGGTCCAAAAATGAACTCCCAGCAGCTGCTAAGTGTAAGTCTGATGTATATTTGAGGAAAAGTCCTGATATGTGGCAAAATTGGTTCACATGTTGACATGTTTTGTATTTGTTTTTTTTTGTTTTTTTTAATGAATGCAAATGATGAGAAAGACTTTTCATCTGGAGACAATAAAAGAAGAGTCGGAGCAAGAAAATGAATCTGTGGGGAGCAGAACAGAGGGAGAAAAGGAAGATTTAGTGTCTCGAGTGAGTGAAGAAGAGATAGTGGCAGGAAGTGGGAGAGAAGAGGAAGAAGAGGAAGAAAGTGATGATGATGATATTCCCCTGAGAGTTCTGAGACCAGGGCGGCGCTCTGGTTCTCTAATCCAGACCAGTTTTGTTCAAGATCAATCTGACAACCCCATGAGTGAACATGGTTTGGTGTCAGATGTCCAAGCTGCAGACCTGAGTGATGATGTTTGTCGACCAAAGTTAGAAAACAAGAAGACATTAGGTAGGAAGAAATTAAGATTAAAGGTAAGCATGCTCAAGTCTTTCATATTTCCATCAGTGTAAATTTATAGCGTGTGGTCATATTTTGTTTTTTCCAAGGTCTCCAAAATTAAGTGGCAAAAACAGTCAAGACCTAATTCATCAAAGTGTTGGAAAAGAAAAATCAGTGATCTGGTAGTACTTTTATTTTTGTTGAATTTCTTTAAAAAAAACTACTGCGAGACAATTTTCATCAATATCTTTTTTTGTATATTTCCATAAATATGTCAAAGGAGGAGCCATTTCCAAAGTGGGTAGTAAACCTGATGTTCAACATCGAGGAGGCAACAACTCACCAACTGGTGATTGAGTAACAACCCTCATCGCAGGCCTTACAAGGGTAAAAGTGGAAGCTTTTAGACTGCTGCCTGCTCAGTTGATCCCAAATAATCTTTATTTGGGATTCCCATTGCCAGATCATGAGGTCTGTTTGCTACATAAATTGTTTATTTAGCCAAAATACGGTAAAGTACTGCCCAAAAAAGTTTGTCGTTTGGTGTAAACATTTTTTTAACATTGTAATTGTTTTGTCAGTTTTCAGATATGTAAAATATGTAAACATTGAAGAGCAAGTTACATTTATTTTTTTGTCATGATCTATGTTTTGGTTTTGTTTAAAGTCTTACATATCTACTTTGAAATAAGTGAAAAGGCCCAACTGTGATTTAAAATATGCATATTTTATCTTTTTTGTGGGGTGCTGAAAGACAACAACTCAAACTGTGTTTGGTCTGAATTTATCTTCTCAACCTACCAATTGACCACCATCCTCCACATGTAGACCTGAATCAGCTCTCTGAACCAGAGTGCATTCTTCTATAAGTTGGGTTATGAGTAGCAATTCCTATTTTGGATCTATCAAATTACACTTTATATCTGAGCAGCGCCCTAAATCGTCTGTACCATCCTTTCATTGGAATGTGTGGATTTAATAAAAGTAACATACTCTCTGTTTGTAGTGCAAATCTTTGAACTACAATGATGCTTGAGATACCGTAGCTTTTTGTACTTCAATCCCATCACAATGAAATGCCTGGGGCCACATGGAGAACACAGCATGAGATAAGTGGAGCTTGGCCTGCACRTCACACATCTGGCATTTGTCACAGATATTTATGACAAATACTACACCAGGGAAACATCCAATTACTGTCCTTTTGTAGACAAACATGTTGTGAATCTAGTCTACAAATCCATAATGTTAGGGTTGTGCAACTCTCAAGAGGAATGATTCTGTTTATCCGACATGATAAGGAAAGCAACATGACTAAAAGGGGGAAAAATAGGGTTTTATTGTTAAAAACAACGTCTGTGAACCATCAAACATTACGTCAGTATGAGATAATGCAATTTTAAGTGTTCTGAAGTTAAATATGTATAACTCATTACGGTTACAGTAGTTGTATTAAAATACCTTTCACAACGTCACTTCTAAAGATGTTGGGTGATTTTGTCATCCAAAAAAAACACACTTGTTTTGATCCACAATCTCTTTATGTTCCTGAGTCAATATTGACGACTGACCTTGTGATCAGGGATTTACGCACATCAAAAGGGGTCACCCACTGTTTGGACTGGCTATGTCAAAAATATTTTATATCTCTGGTCACAGTGTCAATCATTAACCTTTTTGAGGTCAGCTCATCGTACAAATACCCCTGGTTCAAGGAAATCGTTTAAAGAAGAAACTCTACAGTCAGAGAGAGCAGSTTTATGAGACAAGACCAACAAAGATTTAAAAAAAAGAAATATTTGTAGACTCAAAAATGCTTGGATTCTATAAAACCCTGAGGTTTGGAGCAGCTTTGGCTGTGCTGGCTGTGGCGAGGTCATCCCCCGTGGTGGGACCTGAGCCCATCCGCTGTTCCCCCTGCACGCCGCAGAAGCTTAACGGCTGTCCGGAGGTGGCATCGGACTGCAAGCAAGTGCTGAGGGAGCCTGGCTGTGGCTGCTGCATGGCCTGCGCTCTCGAGAAAGGGGCCTCCTGTGGCGTTCACACGGCCCACTGCGGCGAGGGTCTCCACTGCATTCCCAGGCCTGGTGAGGCCAGACCGTTGCACGCTCTGACCAGAGGACAGGGAATCTGCTCTGAGGACTTGGGCCAAGGTAGCTTCTGTGATTCTCTTATCCATATATGTCCAATATTGTCCTTACTTTTAGGATTTTAATTACCTTTTTTTAAATCTCTACAGAAGAGGTCGAAGAAGTCCCCGATCATGGCTCCCTGCACYACATGTTGGGGCTTAATCTTCCTTCTGAAGACCCGGCTGAGGGTCACGAGAGCATCAAAGCCAAGGTCAACGCCATCCGCAACAAACTAGTACAACAGGTACAAACAGAAGCTGACATAAAATTGTGAAAGAAGTCATTTAGTGCTGCTTCCACAAGAGGGAGTGCATGAATCCAGGGGAAGAGTTTCAATAGACGATCAAGTGTATTTATTAACGTTTGGTTCTGGTTCTGTTTTGCAAAGGGTCCCTGTCACATTGAGCTGCACGAAGCGCTGGACAAGATAGCCAGCTCTCAGCAGCTACTAGGTGATAAGTTCACAACCTTTTACCTCCCCAACTGCGACAAGCACGGCTACTACAAGGCCAAGCAGGTGAGACGTTTCTTTTAAGGCTTTCAGAAACGACAGTGAAGTCATTGAGAGATTTAATCTCTTCTGCCAGGTGGCTTGATGTGACTTTTGCTTGTGTTTTCAGTGCGAGTCCTCTCTGGTTGGGCCCCCTGCTCGCTGCTGGTGTGTCTCATCRTGGAATGGAAAGAAGCTCTCAGGATCCAGTGACCTTCTAGGCGATGCAGAGTGCCATCAAGAGGTCACTCACTGAGGGATGGGCTCACKCAGAAACATAAAAAGGGACATATTTCTGACAGAAACAAGCTTCTCTCACATGTCGAATGACCCTAAAACACGTCCTCCTTTATTTACATATATGTTTTATCTTATTTATTTCCATTTACCTTTCTTTTTTTATGTTTGCCTCGTATTTTTTCATTGTAAATAGTTTGTGTTTCTGACTTCATACATAACTCCATTGCTTAAAACAACAGGTCTATAAGTCTACAAAGCCAAATCAAGAGGTTTTGGGATCTTTAAGTTTTCATTCATACATAAAACATATCAGAGCTAACCAAGCCATTGTGTGGTACAGGATGGACTTGACAGCATTTGTCTACCTCTACTGGTCTACTGATTAATTATCTTGTCAAACAACTATTATTTATTTGTTTTTGCCTTTGACTGCTGCATAGGTCCTGTTTGTGTGGACTGGATTTTCTGTAAATGCTATTTAACACAACTGATACATGCATTGAACCAAGTGATGGTGTGTATATTTTAATTTTCAATGTTGATAAATAAAAATTTGGTCAAACAAAGTGACGTTTTAATGAGTTTGTTGTATTGATTAGAAAGACATGGTTCGTTTTTACTGCCTTTATTAGGTAAAAATAGACTTTGAGAGCTGGATTGTACATGCAAACATATTCAAATGTGACAAGTATTGAACAATGACTACAAAAAAAAAATCAAGAATATATGGCAAAGGCCTTAAAGGAATCCATGATTATTTGTAACATTAGACTTTATTAAACATATATTTTCACTGTAAAATACAGACTAAAAATACTGTTGGATGTTCAGTTTTTATCATTGTCAAACTAGAAGTTTAAAAATATATTACACAGACAGGGCCATTTTATTTACACACAAAGCATTCTGGGTAAATGATGACGTGGCTAGGTCCTCAGTGTGAGGCTGCTAGCGAGCTATATCCACCCTGAATGTTAATCTTGGAYAATATCTGASGATCGGTTCTTTTAATTGAAACCAGAGAGCGTTGACAGAGAGGAGAAGATAGAAATGACTCAGTCTACAACTGAAAATATGGATGGAGGACAACAGAGCTGCTTCATGGAAGAAGAACCCCAGCTTAGCCTGTTACCTTTAGCATTAGCCCCGACGCTATCACTATATATGTATTAGCTCAGCGCTACACAATCTCCTCTCATCACTGAGGTCCTCCWTTCACATGACAGAGGGGAACGCAAAAATGACTCAGCAGCAACTGAAAATATGGATGGAGGACCTCAGTTAACTTGTTTGTCGTGCTAGCACTGAGCTAATGCATATAAGGCAATATAGCATTGGCGCTAGCGCAAAGGCTAACAGGCTAAGCTGAGGTTCTTCTTCCATGAAGCAGCTCTGTTGTCCTCCATCTACATTTTCAGTTACAGACTGAGTCATTTCTACCTTCTCCTCTCTGTCAACGCTCTCTGGTTTCATTTAAAAGAGCCAATCATCAGATATTGTCCAACATTAACCTTCAGGGTGGATATAGGTTACTCACACTGAGGACCTATCCACGTCATCATTTACCCAGAATGCTTTGTGTGTAAATAAAATGGCTCCGTCTGTGTTAAAATTTATTTTTAAAAATTTACAAAACTAAACAGCCTACAGTATTTTTATAGTCTTTATTTTACCGTTAAAATATATGTTTATCAAATAAAGTCTAATG